TAAAAAAAAAAAAACATTTTAATGTAACAGAAAGAGAGAGAGAGAGAGAGGGGGGGGGGAGGGAAAAACGATAATTTCGTCTATTTTTAATATCTTGCCTCATTAGAAAAAGATAAAACACGTAAAATGCGTCACTTAAAAAACCTTTTAAATTTTCCGAAATATCCCCCCCCAAAAAAAAAATAAATAAATAAATAAATAAAACACCGTAAATGACAAGGGAAAGAAAAAAAAATTAATTAAACGTAATTAATAAACCGATGAAAACAAAAAAAACCAATGCGGTAAAAGACCCCCGCTCCCCAAAAAACGTTTTTTCTAAATCCACGTAAATAAAAAATTTAAATAGAGGAGAGAGAGAGAGAGAGAGAGAGAGAGAGAGAGAGAGAGAGAGAAAGTTATAAAAAATGGATATTATAAGAAAAATACTTAAAAAGGGAAATATATCGTCGTTGCTTGTTGATGACTTAATGGAAATTCAAAACCCTTTTTTTCCAAAAAAAAAAAAAAAAAAAAACACAATAAAAAAAATTTTTATTTCCCGCCCCCTACACCTCCCCTCTCTCCCTGCCCCCCCCCCTCGAATCGATATGTGTGGCCACCCACGAAAAACAAAAAAAACAGTTGTGACCATATGGTACATAACAATTATATTTTTTTAAATCTAATTACATTGAAATATTATTATAATTTTTCTATTGCCACCCGAAAAAAAAAAAAAACGAACAAACATTATAAATTTGGTTGTTTTCTTTTTTTTTTTTTTTTGGTTGGTTTAAATGATTAAAAATTAAATTTCCTGAATGTTTGTTTTGGTTGTTTTGGTTTGGTTTGGTTTTTTTTTGTCGTCATATTTAAGGAAATTACAGAACGCTTTGTTTTGTAAAAAATTTTTTTCTTGTAAATCATTGTTTTTTTTTTTTTTTCTGACGTGTGTTTTACACACAAATTAGTTTAAACGAAAAATCTATTATAATAATAATAATAATAATTGGGTTGTTATTGATAAGAACGGTAGGAAAAATTTTTTAGTCGTTTGTTTCGTTTCCTAATACCTTAAATATGTTTGTTCAAAGCAAGCAATATTCAGGTTGTTTAAATAATGTCAATGATCTTTGGTATTGTTCAAATTACAAATGCGATATCGTTTCCGTAACCATCACCCCCCCCCCCCCTACCCCCCCCGCCTTTTTTTTTTTTTTTTTCAATTTGTCACGTATAAGTAGTACCGACATTGTTATCAAATATTACCGACTGACTTTCTTGTTTTATAGTTTTTAGGCACAGTTAAAAGGTGTGTTTTTCCCTTTTTTTTTTTTTTTTTTTTGAATATAAATTTTTTTTTTTTTTTTTAAGGCAAAATTTACGTAATTTTTTTTTTTTTATTTTAATGTAAATTTGAAAGTTGCTTGTTCTCATTAGTAAAACGAGGAGGAAAAAAAAAAAAAGAAAACAAATAATAATTTATTGTTTTTTTTTTTGGAAAAAGTTATGTTATCTCATACTATTAAATAATATCTTTAATAATTTCCTTTTAAACGATATTTATAATAATGGAGAACAACAAGTGTGCGAATGTTTTCTCACTTTAAATTATCAATAAGTTATGATGTTATTATTATTATTCATAAAAACTCATCATCCATTTCGACACAATAACAATAATTCAGACAGTCCAGACGAATAAATTTCATTTTTTCTTTTACAAAATATAAATGATATGATAAATTTACTTACCAAAGCAGCCGATCTCAGACATGTTGATTTGATACAAATGGGAAATTTTTGCCGATGAGGAATATGTGGCCAAGTTGATCCGAGGACAATAATCACAAGTAAAAACAATAATGTCGCACATACCAAAAACAAACCAATTAAATATCCACAATGTGTTAATCCGAGTTTTTTACGAATATTATTTTCACACTTTGATCTAGACCAATCATAATCTTTTTCTCCATCGTTTCCTAACTGTCCAACCGAAAGTATTATTTTATTTTTTTTAGATTTTTTTTTAGAATTCGACACCGGATATTCACTAGTATCGTTTAAATATATTTTATCCTGTTTTTCCGCCAAGTCTTTAAACGGTTTCTTTTCCAACGAATTTTCCGATTCACCATATTTATTCTTATCAAATAAATTACCATTGTTCACAACGGGCAAACATGGTTCTTCCTCTTCTATTGATTGATATTCTTCTAAATTTCCTCCACCATTTTCGAAATGATTATTCTTAGTTTCGTTTATTCTTTCATCAATGATTCCTTCGGAGTCTGGAATACTCGTTGTGCTCGTCATTTTCTATCTTTTTTTTTTTTTTTTTCAAAATGTCTTCATTTACGTTCGTCTTGATGAATTTCAATTTGTTTTCATTCTACACACACACACCGACAGAATTTTTAATTCTCCTACAAAAAAAAAAGAAATCGTTTTAGTTTTAACCTATTTTTTTATTTCATCTTTCATTTGTTTAAAAAAAATAAATAAAATCTATGAGGAAAATTTTGAAATAGTAAATGATTTGCATTACAACGCACGTACGTGTATTTTATATGTAAAAAAAATTATTATGAAATAATTTTTATTGTTTATCGCTTTGAATTACGCATTAAATCGTGAGATTTTTTATTATTTTTTTTTAAATTACATAAAAACTATCGGTAATTAAACGTTATAAAAAATAAATTTTGATGACATTTTATTTAATTTTCAAAAGGTAGAATAGCAAAAAAATATAAACTGACTTTGAATTGTGTGAAAGAAATTACAGGTAAAAGCCTTGACATGCACCGTTTAAAATAAATTGTGGTATAGACTTAGAGAGAGAGAGAGAGAGATAGACAGACTAGTTGAAAAGATTATTTTAACCCAGACAGATTATTACATGCCATCAATAAAATATACATTCAGGGTTACAAGACTGCAAATAAGACAACAACAATATGATACCCGCAACAAAATTATTTTAACCCCCTCACTTTTCTCTTTTTTTTTTCTAAATAACATTATTATTATTATTATTATTTGAAAGTGACTCTACCTGTATATATACCTGATTCAAATAGTAATACATTTCTTTTCAAACATTATTATTATTATTATTATTATTAGATTTTATGATAAAATGACAACAATGACACTAGAACAGACATGTATAATGAATGACATTAGAAGATATATTGTTCAATTTTATTTTACCCCCCCCCCTTTTTTTTTTTTAAATGGTGGTTAATTTATTTTATTCACAATTAAGAATTAAACATCCCAACATTTTTTTAAACTAAATTTCAAAAAAAAATTGTGTAGGTTTAAAAAAAGAAAAAAAAATTGCCCCTAGACGTACAAGATGTATTTACTTATTTATATACATTTTTTTAACGGTTTTTTTTTTATAGAATCTACATTTTTTTTTTTTTTTTAAAAAAGTGAGAGAGAGAGAGAGAGAAACGAACCTGATTATTAAAAATTTTTTTATTATTAATTATTATAGGTCGAAAGGCGTGAATTTTTTCTCAATTTGCATTTATTTTATTTATAATAAATCATCGATGAAAAAAAAAAAAAAAAAAACAAAAAAACCGTTATTCGAATGCATACCAAATAATAATAATAATTTTTTTTTTTTTTTTGATTTTACAATAGATTTTTTTTTTTTTGAAAATCGTGACCGGATAACAATTTTTATTCATTTGTTTATATTCAATAAATAAAATTTGAATTATTTAAATAGTTTTTTTTTTTAATATTTATAAATAAATAAAATAATCAAAATTTAAATTTGAAATTCACCATTATTATCACTATTCAAATTGAGAATTATTGAACTAATTTACTAAAATTTCTCACTATATTGATTTATTATCATTATCTTTATTAAATATCATTTTGTATGAATTACTTTTATTATTATTATTATCATTGTTTTACCTTTCTTAAGTTAAAAAAAAAATTATTTTAAATAATAAAAAGATGAAGTGTTTTCTGTTGCTAAGCGGTTTCCCTCCATTTTGTATTATGTCAAAGGTTAGAAGTTTGAATAATTTCAATTCATTTTTTTAATTAATAACTTTTATTATTATTATTATTTCGAAAGTAAATAAAAGTTTTATTATTTTCTTTTGAAAAATGTAACAGTTTTGTTTAACAGTTACTTTATTAACAATAGTTTTTACAAATTAAAACACAAATAACTATTTGAAATTTTTTACATGGTAAAGAAAACGCGTCAAAAGTTAACTTACCTGTTTTTAACATGAATACTACTTATTTTTTTTACATATTACGTCGTATATAATTATGCACGTTTACATAAAAAATTATTAAAATATAATCCGAGTTATTTCATAATATTAATAATTTAACATAACGAATAAATAAAAAAAATTTGATTTTATTATTATTACTGTGTATATACCTAATCCACCGTTCGCGAGATTTCATGAAACTCACCAACTTCGTCACTGATTCGTTGTACGTTATTAATTATTAGCTTTTTCACCAGAGGTCTCTAGTTTCTACTTTCTTCCATTTTAATTTTACACTTTTTTTTTTTTAATTTTAACCGCCAAAAAGGAAAAACGTAATAAACAAAAAAAAAAATTCTTGTGTAACTAAATATTATTTTATAATAAAAATATTTTAAACTTTTAGCGAACAATTAGTGAAACTATAAGTAAGTTTATTTGTATGATTTTTACAATTCACGAAATCAAATCATGTTTGTTATCACGATTTTAGGAAAAAGATAGGTCGAAAAAGTAAAAAAATAAGCCATTTATAAACAAAAATATTACATGTTACTTTATTATTACTACTTTAAAGTATTATTTAAACAAACATTTTGACTAATTTTGACTCGATTTTAGCCGTTAAGTTGCGTTTATTCGATGAGCTGAAAATAAGAAAAAAAATATGTCGATAAAATCTTCCGTTTTTTAAAATTAAATTTAATTTTTTGATGTTTGATTACTTACAGTTTTTCGGTAACCTTAGTGGCTCAGTATCCTTAACCGAAACTTGATGGAGAACGTTGTGAAATAAATATTGTACAAATAAACTTTTTTCTTCGCCCACGCAAGGATCATAAAAACCTGGAAGTTGACTCTGGACAAAAAAAAAAAATTTTTTTATTTAAGGTATGTTTTTATTTTTTTTCTTGTAACTTATGATTTACAATTATTTACAATTACCTTTGACGACTCGTGCAAAAATAGTTTCGAATCCTTAACCAAAACTTGGAGTTGAATAGTAACATCAATAATTTCTAAATCTAGAGAATTTTCTATTTCTTGATCGGTGGCAGCTGCGTAACTTGACTGTGCCGTTGTGCGACCATAAGTTGCATGAACAATGATTAATCCTCTTTTACTTTCTTCCTCACTTCGAATTCTTGAAACGGTGGCTTTCATAAGTTCTTTAGCTGCTTTAGCTTCCCGTTGCAATTCGGCCATTCTAATCGTAACGAAATTAAAAACCGTTCTTTTTGTTATTTTCAAAAATTCAATATAAAACACTAAAACTATTTGGTGAATGAAAATGAAAAACAAAATTTCACCTAGATTTGTTTGCCTGTTTTTGCTTTTCTTTATTTCGCAAATGTTGCTCTTGCCTTATTGGATCAATGATAAGCTTTTTAATCAAAACCCATGAAAACAATGGTGTGATTGTGGCATAAAATACAGGACTAGGTAAAATTTCTTCGCAAAGCAATATTGGAAAACTATAAGTTTGATTCGCTCGATTTAACCTAAACCACATAATTATAATTATTACATTGCATTACTGGTTAACAAAATCCTAAGGTAAATCCTGTTGATATTAGAAATTTACTTGAGTTTAAGAGTAACTCCTGTCGGAATTCCTACCATTACAGAAGCTGATACTGCTGATTGTTTCGAAACTTGTTTTTCAGCTCCATATTCCAATAGTGCTCCAAAGGTTCCAGCTCTTTGAATAAAATTATAATTTTAACGTTTATTGTTAAAAAAAAAAAAAATTTACAAAAACAATGATGAAAAATTTTTTTTTTTTCTTCTTACTTGACAGCAATTTTTAATTTCAGCGTTTTTTCATTTTCATAAAATTTTCTAGAATAACTAAGTGAAATATAAGAATGAGGAACACCGAAAAGAAGGGTTAAACTAGTTAATGAGGTTTCTGTATTTCTATGAATGGAAGTTGACATTGAACTTTGAATCCCAGCTCTCCATGTTAAATCACCCATAACATGTTTATCCAACTGGTAACTTAAAGCTTATTTTAAATAATAATAATAGAATTAACGAGGTGAATTTTAACTGTATAAACATTCATAAGTTAAAACAGTAACACAATTAGATCTTACATGTAACTAAACCAGGCCTTATTCCCGATGGTGTGTATTGAAAAAGAGTAATTACAGTACCGAAAAGTCGCTTAGTAAGAGTTCGAAAACCCTTAATACTAAATGTAGGACCATCTCCCGCTCCTAACCCACATTCGACCCATGACTTTTCAGACACAACCTTTCTAAGAGCAACATTAACTGCACCACTCCCTATCAAATAAAAAAAAAAAAAATGATCTTTATGTACTCTTAGATCATAAATAATAATTCACTGAAGGTCAGTAATTAAATTATTTACCTGTTCCATTGTGAGTAGCTAGGTTTCCTGATAATGTGACCGTATCTTTGGTTGTAATTGGAGCTTCAATAGAGTGGGCAAATGACATACCAGATATTTCAATGTTTGGAAAACCTTTCGATCTGTTTTAATTTAACAAAATGTTTTTAGTATACTGATTGTATTAACTTTAAATTATAATTAATATACTTGCATGTCTTTGAATTCATCGTAATCATCATCAATAACTGGAAACAAATCAGTAGCATTAATATTGACAGTTACATTTCCCTTTGGATTTGTTCTTTGCTCTAGTCTTCTTTGTTCTCTTTCTCTAAAAAATTATTAAAAATAAAATATTAATAATATGATTATATAAAATTAGATGATGTTCAAGGTCACAAGGTTGAATAAGTCAAATAAAAATCGAGTAAATAAAAAAAAAATAAGAAAAAAAAACAAATTTTTTGATAAAACACCTTGCCAGCCTTTCATATTCTTCTCTGATTTCTTGTGGAGTTCTAGTTCTTTGAATAATTTCCCATCCTTCAGTTTCCAAACCTTGCACACCTAAAGAATCATAAATGGCTCTTTGATGAGGATCACTCAAAACTTCATATGCCCTTTTGGTTTTGTTAAATAAATTTTCTGCTTGCTTTTTTTTTTCCGGTTCTAAATGCTTGTCGGGGTGATAAACTCTACTTAATCTTCTGTATGCATTGCTAATTTCTTCATTAGTTGCCTATGAGATAATCAATAACCATATATCAATTTTTCAAAATCAAGTCTTTCGTTGCAATATTTCAAACATGAGAATAAAAAATAAATTAATTTTACTGTGATTTAAAAAAAAAAAAAGTAAAATATTTATGTCAACTTTTGTCATCAAAATTTTATTATGTTTATTTTATATTATTTAACCTAACTAGGTAAATTATTGTGCTTACTGCTCTAGATATATTTAAAAAAGCATAATAATCTTCTTCGACGTTGTCTCCGTCTTCGATTTCATCATCCATTATAATATATTTAAAAAATGGGTAATTCTAACCCAGATAAATTTTAATTTTTCTACTTGACAATTAATACGAAAATTAATATTATTTTGTTTGCAGCAATACGCAAGAGTCGTGAACTTAAAATACAAAAACCAAAATTTTTTTAATAAAAAATCAAATTATTATGTGATGCAAACAAAACTTTTGTCAAGATTCGAATTATTTATTATTTACTATTATACAAATTAAAACTTTTCTAACAATGTCACAACCACTAAAAAATTCTAACTTATGTGTATCCCATTCCTATATAGATTCTAATGAATCCCTGCATTGCAAGCCGGTACTGAATTTCGATCTATCGAAAGTCATAGAGAAAATAAACTCGCGTATAATGTTATTGGAGTTTATACTGCAATTTTAAAAAATTTCACAATTTAAAACTTTTTTTTTTTTTTAATTAAAAAAGGTTCAAACATTAAATAAATCAACGGTATTATAAAAAAGAATATCCTATGAGCTTAGGTAATGAATAAATTTTTTTGTATTTAATTGAAAAAAAAAAATTAAAAAATAATGATTGTAAATGCGCCAGGATTAATCCCAGCCAGGTTTCTAACATTACTGTCTCATTTAACGGTCCTTATTTTGATTATTTTTTCGAGAGTAAGTGATTTGTTCTTTTGTCAATGATTTTAGTTTTTTGTAGGAGAAAAAAATCATTTTTTTTTTTTTTTTTTTTTGATTTGTTTAAGCACATCTTGTTCTGCACATTTTACATATGAATACCTTCCAAGTTTGTTTTTATTAAATATTACAAAAAATATAGTAATTTACTCTTACAGAAAAATACTATATTTTTACACGATTGTATATCAATTACTTTTATTATATTTAATTATTTAAGTGAAAATAATTCAAATTTATTTAAAATTAAATTAATTTTCAGGAAGAAAATGTAAAGGCTTGTATGATTTTAGAGTGGACGAAAAACGATTATGACGTTAAAGATTTACAGTGAGTACTAAATTTAATTATTGATAGCACTAATGATACTTTACATCTATTTTCACTTAATTGTTTCATTTTAAATTACTTTAAGAAACTCCTATGGTATTTTTCAAAGATGTAATTTTATTTTTAAAAAACTAACCTCTTCTTAAAATATTGAAGCTGATCGACAGGTTAATTACTGATACAATAAGTCAGCAGTTATTATTTTTATAATTTTAAAATTAAAAATCGGTTAATATCGTTTTAGATTATTGACTGGCTTAGCAACTTCTATTTTTCTTATTGGAATCGAGTTAATTGGGTTTTTATGCGGTGTGTCTATGTTTATGCCTTCTGCTGCCATAATTTGTATCCTTTTAAACCTATTACACAAGCATATTTTTTACCTTTTTGATATTTGTAAGTACTTAACTTAACTCTCATTAGCTACTGCGGGACATTTTAGCGGATCGATAGCACTTGCATATTTTATTTTTGATGAGTGGGATTGCAATTTGTTTTGGTGGATTTTTGCATTTTGTTCTGTTCTGCCGGCAGTATTTGAAATTGTGATTGGCATTCAAAATTTAATTCTTAAAAAATTTTAAAATGCTTTCAATGTGGAAATATTATTCAAAATTGAACATCCTATCACGAATACCGGCAAAATTTAATTTTAACGTACCTGAAAAAGCAAAAGGAACAGTTGTGGAAAAATGGATCAAATACTGGGAAGGTTTAATTAATGATTATGCTGATGTGTTCAGGGATTCAATTAAGGAAAGTAAGAGTAAGCCATATAAAACAGGGTTATTAGCACTCTCTGGATGTTTTTTAACATATGCAGTGTATAACAATCCGACTGAACAAGATTTTAGGGATAGTGTTATTTATTACCAAAATTTATTTGGCCTTGTGGGAAAGCCTGTTAGAAATCCAGGAGTCGATGTTTACCTTAAAAGTTTAGAAAATTCATTTAATTTTAAAGTTATTAGAAGATTATCTTTGGGCATATTTTGTTTTATATGGATTGATAATTACGATGAAGCATTGGGACTTTACAAAGCACAGTGTAAATATTTAAAACCTAGATATTTGACATTTTACGAAAGAGTGATTGATGTTGGTTTTTTAAACAAATTTTGGATTCTTGAAAAAAATATGAGAGACTATGACATTAATCCTAATGAATGGATTGATTTTTCAAAATCTGATTACGGTTATAAAAATAGAATTTTTTGATATCATGAAATATTTTCTTCTCGAATTGATTTTTAATAGCACAAACAAACTTTTTAGTACTCTCCATTAGTTTTTTAAATGTTGGCAAATCTGCAAAAATTTTCATTATACATGAAAATATGTAATGATATTGTACATTTTGTAAAAATAATACAAAATTTATAATACATGATGTTTTAGAGGGAAATTGGGTTCGATTTTAAAATGAACGAAAAAAAATTTTTTTTTTTTTTAGGTAAAATTAGCCATTATATTCCATACAGTATACAATAATTTAATATTCTTGTGAAACGATTTCTTCTATTTCTTCCTTCAATACTTGTTCAACTTGTAATAATTTTTCTTCAGCCGGCATTGAAAGTTTTTTAAATATATCCCAAAAAACTAAAGTTAGTAAAGAATGTGGCCCTATTCTTAAATAACAAGGTCCAAAACCTTTGAAAAATCCTAATATTCCTTCCGTTTTAGACATTTTTATAAAACAATCAATAATACCGTTATATAATAAACCTTTTCCATTTTTATCAACTCCTGTGAAAATTAAAAAGAAAAATTTAGAGAGAGAAAAAGAAAGAAGGAAAATGTGTTTGTATTTAATTTCCTTTGAAATTTTAACTACCTTGATTGTAAAGCCTTGTTTGAATAACATCAAAGGGAGTTATTGCGGTGGCTACAGCAACACCGCAAAGCATACTGGCAGCAAATGAATTCCATAATGATTTTTCCTTTGACAAAAGCTAAAATAAACAAGGTAGTAATAATGAGTAAAACAAGGTATCGTACGAATGGAAAAACATGAATAAAACACAACCTTATAGTTTTCTAAAAACTCTTTAGCGGTACTAAATGTCGATAATTGAATACTACTACCGACTCCTACTCTCGGAAGTGACGAAAGTGAACCTCTCCAAAGTCCTCTTACACCTTCCGCTTTAAAAATATTTTTCAATGCTGATAATGTACCCGTGTGAGTATGTTGATACCCGACAGCTATTTGACTAGCGGCATGGCTTTGATAATGAATTTTTACCTTTACAAAAAAAAAAAAAGAAGGAAAAAATGTAATTTAAAAGTAATCGTTTTTTCACGTATGCATGTGTTCGTTCAGAAATCATTACATTTTAACATTACCAAATAAAAAGGACTTCCGGTGAAGCTTCCTAAACAACCCGAACAAGCGCTAACAATGGCAGTTTTGAACACATTAACTTCATTATTTTTATTTTTCGTCCATCCTAACTTTTGTGCAATGTCAAAACTTCCCAATCTAATACCATTTAAAAATACTTGAAACCATAAAGCAGGTACGATTCCTAAAAAAAAAAAAAAAAAAAAAAAAATAATAAATAGAATCGAATCAATAATATAACCTTAGGGAAATTAGGGTTATCCGTTACCTTTTTGCAAGGATACAATTCCTTCCGTTTTTGCAATTACATAAAATGCTTGTAAAGTATTCTTGTAATGAACGACATGATGTCCTCTTGCTTTTAATTCACCCTGTAATTGCATTCTCGTTTTGACAACATCGAGGGGGTTGGTAAAACAACCCGCCATAACTCCAGCCATTGCACCAGTTGCATATTCCATTTTTTTTTTTTTTTTCTTATTCCAAAAGCTTTCAATTATTTTTATTTATTAAGTTTTTTTTATTTTATTTTATCATAGTAGTTTATTCTGTAATAATAATAATAATAATAGGAAAAACACTTTTATTAATCATTTTTTTAAAGATTTTTGATGTGTAAAACTGTTTAATAATGGTGGTCGTGAAAAAAAAAAAAAAAAAAAAAAATTCAATGTTAAATATGCAAGGTAATTTGATGACCAGTTTCACCTTTAATTATTAAATCGATATATATCGTTGTTTTTGATTTATAAATAATTAAAATGAAAATTTTGGGGGAAAAGAAAAATGGCAACAAAAAAAAAATTTATGTGCAATTTTTTTTTTTTAATTTTTTTTGTGCAAGTTAATAACAAATAAATGAAAAAATACACTTTAATAAAACTTTTTAAATAAATAAATAAAGATTTGTAGAATTTCTTACACATTTTATCTTTTTTTTATTTTCATAACTTTAAAAAACTAATATAATAATATTAAATTAAGTGGAAACATTTTTTTTATTTTTTAAAAACACATCACTGCCATAAACACTTTACCTGTTTAAAATGTTAAACAAAACGCTTTTATTGCTAAAATGTTGATTATCTTAGCAAAAAAAAAAAAAAAAAAAAATGGTTTCAATAAATAAAAAAACAAACGGTTAAATAATATCAACTCATGATTTACACTCTCATAATTATATATATATAATTTTTTAATATAAATAAATAATTTTCACACACTAATCTATATAGTAATACTGTTATTTTAATACTTTTATAATTAATAATAATAAAATTTAACAATTTTTTCCGATCATATGTTAAACGTTACGTTAACAATGTAATTTTTTTTTTAAACTGATTTTTTGTTTTGAAACAAGTTTAACTTATGGTTTCAAATAAAAAAAAAAAATATTTAAACACGTTGTTGTTGTTGTGTTTGTTGTGTTTGTTGTTGTGACCTTTGATAAGGCTATGAAAATTGTGTAATTTTTGAATATTTTTTCAAACGTGTAAAATATACGAATACGTCGTTCATTTGAAAAATCGCGTCGCGGCGGCGAAATATGGCTACGTATTAAAGTCATCATCCTTGAATTTGTTTTTTTTTTTTTTTTTTAAATTGATTTGTCCTTATCGTACGATTATAATAATACTAAATAATAAAACCTTGAATAAGGTTTCTTTTCGAATTTTAAATTTTTTTAATAAAAAATACGGAAGTTGAGAGTAATTTTATATACCGATTTAAATTTTTCCCTTTTTTCATAAAACAATTCAGGTTAAATTTATTATTATCATCATCATCATCTCCTTTTATGCAATACTCATCATTATTATTATTTTTTTGTTTACTTAATTTTAAGGTACATTTTTACAAATAATTAAATTCCTTTTCATTTTTTTTGACAGTTATGTATGTACATGATTAATTTTTTTTTTTTTTAAATGATTTTTTATCATTTTTTTATTTTTTCTTCTTTTGAAATGGCGCCAGATTTATTTATTTATTTAATTATAATAATAAAATTTTTTAATTACAATCGAATAATTTCATTTTGTTGAGTAATCGATAATAATAATAATAATAATAATAATAATAACATAAGGGATTTGTTTTTTTAAAGAGACCATCGTGACGTCATTATCGTTTATTTAAACTATCGAAAAAAAATTTTTTTTTCGTCATTTGTTATTTAATTAAAATAATTTATGTATATTTAATATAATTTATTAATCATAATATCAAACTACTACTAATAATAATAATAATAATTTTTTTATTTGTAAAAAAGGTGATGAAACAATTAAAAATATTAATAAAGGCGATTTTTATAAAAAAAATTTTTTAGTAAAATGAATAATAATCCCGTTTAATAAGTTAATATTATTTATTAATTAATAAAAAAAAAAAAAAAAAAAAAAAAACACCAACAACTGTTTTGTATTTAATTAATAAAATATTTTATAAATAATTATAAATAAGGAAAAAACGACAAATTCAAACACAAACGACCGGAAAAAATATTTAATTCTGTAATAAATTTATGAATTTTTTAATTTCTATTAATAACTTTAAAAAAAATAATAATAATAAATAAACTACCAATTTTGACTATATAATACATTCACACAAAATATTTTTAAAAAAAATTCATATATATAAATAAACGTTCAACTTGTTAAAACTTTTTAAAATCATTTTAATCTGCGGCAAATAAAACTTCTCAAGGTTTTTTTTTTTTTTCATTGATATAAACGTTTAACCAATTAGAGTAACTTTAAAAACATTTGAGATCGTTTTTTCTTTTATGTTCTATCCTGTCATGATTACTAAACTTTATTTTAAAATTATTTATTATAATTTATATAAATATTTTATTTAAAATAATTTCACAATAAGTTTTTTTTCGACAAAAAAAAAATTTTTAAACAAGAAAATGATTAATCGAGTAAGAAATTATTCGATACATGTATATATAATTGTACATTTATTTTATAAATGATTAAAATTTATGTACATTTAATTATTTACAATATAAATTTTATCAATAATAATAATAATACTTATAAAAAAATTTATAAATAAATGTTAATTATTTTTTAAAATTTGATTCTTTGGTTTTGTAATTTATTAAATAATACGTTTTTTTTGTTCGGGGTTGATAAATGAATCAAATCGATTTAAAATTAATTGTGATTTTAAAAGTGAGATAGTAAATTTTACATGTAATTTTAATCTAACACCAATAAATTTTCAGAAAAATCTTCTGGTAAACCATTGGTTAAAGCGAATAATCTTTTTTTGTGACCGAATAATAAATCGGTAATTAAAAATATTTGAGCAGTTGCAAATGCTAATGTGACACCGAAGAAAAAATTTGCATTAGCTGAACCTGCATAAATCCATAGATTCCACACTGAGGGGCCTAAAACTGATGTTATTATTAAAAAACAAGTTGTTACAAATGTTTGCTGCATAAAAAAAAATAAATGTTTCCATATGGGGAGTAGCGAGAAGTAAAATCCTACATCTCCTAAACATGGATAAGATTTAAAAACTGTTGTCAGAGCTGTCAGAGTGAATGTGAGGAAAAAAGGTTCATCTTTTAAATGTAATGTTAACGGAATCAAATATAAAACTGTTGCATTTATTTGAAGGGCTGAAATGAATAATGCACGAAAATGGTCAAACATTTCAGTAAAAAAATACCAAAATAAACCAATGTTTGGTGTTAGATCATTTACATGTAAAATAAATCCAAAAGTGGACTCTATAAAACCCCAACTTCCTGCTATGTGATGACAGATTGCTAGTAAACCTCCAAACGTGGATAAAAACAATATTATTATTTGAAAAATACATTTTTTTGTTTTTTCAGAATGATAAAACTGAAGGCATAATGGAACTATTAATATAAATAAATAAAATGATTGTAATGTAACTAGTGAAAGTAATAGTGTACAAAGTAATTTTTTTTCCTTCACGATGGAGTAAAAAATACCGGTTAAAAGTAAATTAAAAAACGTCGTGGTTGTAAGTCCAACACAATTGAAAATAATATATGGATTAAATAAATAAGCATAAGCAACATAAGCCGGAATACTTTCCGAATTATTTTCAGTGAGCACTAAACTTTTTGAAAGTTTTGAATATTCTCCTTTTTGTAATTTGCGTTCTTCTTCTTTCGCAAGTTTTGTTACATATGAGCATGCAGTTTTATACAATAAAAATGCCACTAAAACATCTACGAACACAAATAAAATTTCAATATATGGTCCCAAATAGGTTATTAGTAATCGAAAAGTTACTAGAATTAGCGGTGACTCATGAAAGAGGTCACCGGAGTAAGGATCAACGTTAACACTGTACAAATGTATTCCCTCAAGTAACCTCTTCCAGGAATTTAAAGGTGTAGAAACTTCAACACGCTCTTGAATTGAAGATTTATAATTACTGTGCAATAAAGCAAATCGAATCACAATTGCAATCAAATAATGATACCCAGATACGTTTCTGGGTTGAAGCATTTTTGACAATAACTTATTAAATACTTAATGATTTTTTATTAAAATGGCAATCAACGGAGTAAAATAATTTTGTTTGTCGTGGCACTAGAAAAGACAACTTTGTTACGCTTGCGTACTACCAACGACCCCTCTACGTGGCCAAAAATCTTTTTGTATCCGCCATCTTAATATACGGTAATTTTTGGGTGGATAGGGGTATACCATAGCGTTTTCAGGTAGAATATTGAACTATACATTAGAGAAGTTGGTATGATATATTTATTTTACTTTTATTATTAATTATTTATTGCATGAATTAATTTTTTTTTACTAATAAACTTATTTTTAACCAAAAATGCTTAATGCATTTCTAACATTCTAATGACAAATATTTGTCGTAGGCCTTATCTGAGTCAATTTTACACCATGTCCAAGTTTAAATTAATTTTTCATTAATTTTATACATAGTTAAATTTTTAAATTATTGTTTTAACCGTGTAATAAATTATTTTTCTTTAAAATATGTATTACACGAAGTTGTAATGCCGCAACAGATTTTAAATTTAAATAGTATGGTAAAAACTGTAACTCTGATGTGTTGGCATTATTTAATTAATCGCTTTAAATAATTAAGTACTTAAATTTATAAAGTACAATTGTGAATAATGTACTTTTATTACAATAAAAAGAACAAATTATTTAAAAGAATAAATAATGCTTTTTAAGTGACAGATCTCAAGGTGTAACGTAGTTAATATAATGAGATGTAATGGTTTGGTTCATGATTGGTTTAATATATTTTTTGATTTTTTTTTCAAAATTTTATACTTTTTTTTTTTTTATAAATGCTCTTAAACTATTTTTTAATCATTGTTATTTATATTTATAATATATTTTATGTATGTATTTAGTTTATTCAAAAGTCATATTGTGCAAAATGAGGAAATTATATACTTTACGTTTTTAAGGTTATAAACGCTTGATTATTTTTTTATTTCGAAAAAAAAAAAAATTTAAGCAATACGTAATTATTTATTTATTTAATTAATAATTTTTAACTTTATTAAATTTGTGCAAATTTTTTCCTAGTCTCTTTAAAAAATTATTATGAGACTGGTAGTGTAGTTACTTATATTGTAAAGTTACAGATTATCCAAAATGGTGATTTAATTATTAGCTGTACCCAAGTGATCAAAAGTAAAATTTTTATTTAAAAATATTTTTCTTTTTATTTATTTAAAAAAAATTTTATATGCTTATTTTTTAAAAATTGGCTTTTGTTATTGGATGCATGAAAAAGATGAGTAATCATTTGCACAATGGATTGCAAATGGTGGATTCTAATATTACACATGTTTTACACGATAATTATTTTATTTTTTATTTATTTCTATTATTAGAAAATAAATTTTTATAATTATTTAAAACAAAATAAACTGGAAAAGGAATTTGTCTTTCAAGAGTAGGGTTGTATGTATTTATTGCAGATTTATATGTAAATGTAATCATTCATTATCATAAGTATTTGGAGTGTGAATTATTACATTTCCTATAAGATGGTAAAAATGTCAGTTAATTAAAATTTAATTTTTTTTAATTTTAGATAAATAAAAAGCATTCATCATGGGGAATATGTTTGCAAACATTTTCAAAGGCCTTTTTGGCAAAAAAGAAATGAGAATATTAATGGTCGGTTTAGATGCTGCTGGTAAAACAACTATCCTTTACAAATTAAAGTTAGGAGAAATTGTTACCACAATTCCAACAATAGGTAAAATAAAATGGGGATAATATTTACATTGCACAACATTATCATCTCACAATTTTTTTATTTATACAGGAATAAGTAACATATGGTATTTTTATTATTGTTTTACAGGCTTCAATGTAGAGACAGTAGAATACAAGAATATAAGTTTTACTGTATGGGATGTAGGAGGTCAAGATAAAATCAGACCATTGTGGCGACATTATTTTCAAAACACACAAGGATTAATTTTTGTTGTAGACAGTAATGACAGAGAAAGAATTGGCGAAGCAAGAGAAGAGTTAATGAGAATGCTTGCAGAAGATGAGCTTAGAGATGCTGTACTTCTTATATTTGCTAATAAACAGGTAATCTATTAACAACAATAACTACACTATGATTAATTGATTGATTGTTGTTAAAAAATCAAATTTAAATTTGTATATTTTTTTTTTTTTTACTTTTTTAAAAATCTGTAGGATCTGCCAAATGCTATGAATGCAGCAGAAATAACTGATAAACTTGGCCTACATTCTTTACGTAACAGAAACTGGTACATTCAAGCAACCTGTGCAACAAGCGGTGATGGATTGTATGAAGGCCTTGACTGGCTTTCCAACCAACTTAAAAATGCTAATCGTTAGGTAATAAATTATTTAATGAGTTTTTGGCTGTTGATAGATACCTGAAAATCACAATAACACCCGTTGTTTTTTAATTTGATACTTAATCGTGAAATCACTCGTAAACTCTAAAGTTGTTCAACTAGTGCTTTCGATAATTAAGTACCAAATCAATTGGTTGTTTGTACCTTAAACAAATTGTTATTCCAGCTGATTGTAAAAAAAAAAAAAAAATATATATATTTTCATTTCAGATAAGATTTCCAGCTGATATGTGGAATACCAATCTAATCAATGTGTATGAGATAACATTCTAAATATCATTCGAGAAAATAAAATGTTGATTTGATGACTTCTTTGTTTCACTGAAAGCTATTTTCGTATAATAATTTTCGAACTTGAATTTTTTTTTCACGAAATATTTGATGCATAACAAAAAAAAGTAAAAAAGCAAAAAAGCAACAAAAAAAAAAAAGTCACATTCGAAACTCGAATGGGACATGATTTGGTTTGCTGTTATTTAATATTTTATACCATTAAAAAAAATAGCGCCAGGTATATATATATATATACATATATATTTTTTTTTTTTTTTTTTTCTCTCATTTATTCCGCGATATAAAAAAGTAATTAATTATAATTATATAAAATAAAAAAGTGAAGAAAAAGTGATTCAGGGGGTTATTATTATTATTTTTTTTTTTTGTTTGTTTTTTTTTTTTTTTTTTAATTTAAATTTAAATTTAAATAAAAGATAAAGACAGAGAGTAAACATTTTGGTGAAAAAGCAAGAATTCACTGTAGTCTGGAACATTATAATAAATTAATTTGGTTTTAGAAATTATTTAGTTAAAAGACTTTTTTCTATCTTTTAAGTGTTTTAAACAAAAAAAAAAAAAATTTTTTTTTTGCTGGCATTATGTGATAAATTAACAACATTGTTGATGGAAAACATGGATGCCAAAATATTGTTTATACATATACATATATATATACTTTATTGTACTTCAAATATTTTGGGAAAATAATCAATCAATCGAAACTAGGATTACAAAATTAATTTTAAAAAATAATAATAATAATAATAATAGTTTTTTTCAGCAAATTTAACATGTTAATAATTGTTGCTTTTCGGGAATCAATAATAATAATAATAATATTTTTATTAATGCATTATCTATTGGTTTTAACCTAATTTAAAAGTAAAAAAAAATTAACAATTTTGTATTATTTTTCTAAATTTTAATAACAAAAAAAAAACAAAAAATTTTTTATTATATTTTGCATTAAGCTAAAAAAAAAAAAAATCCACAACTGTTATGTTATCCTAAAGAAAATTTACACACACACACATACATACCTGAAGGTACGAATAAAGTATATAATAAATTTTTTTGTAATCAAATTTGAAGTATAATTATACATATATATATATATTTATTTGCCAGTAAATCATCTGAATTAATTTTAAATTTTTTTTTTTTTTTAAAAAAAATTTGTTTTCATTTTTTTCTTTTTGTTTTTTAAAATTTGCATTTTCTATTTTTTTCATTCATTCCTTTTTTTTTTTTTTTTTATGTATAACGTACAATTAATTGAAATTTAAATTTAAAAAAAATAAAAATAAAAATTTTTAATTCACCAATTTAATTTTGATTTCGATGTTAATTTGTATTTAATAATTAATTAATTATAATTTGACAGTTTTTTTTTTTTTTTGTGAATTTATTTTGGGTTACAAAAACATTTATTTTTTAATTGTATAATCAAGCCATGAATTAATTTATTATTATTATTATTATTTTTTATATAAAGCACGTATAATTATTATTATGTATTCCACAATGTAAGCAATGTGATCTCGCTTTGGTGGTTTAGCATTATTTTATATAATTATTATTATTAATTAAATTTAAATTGTCATGCTTGTCATCGTCATTATCAGTTATCATTCACGAGTTTATATACTCAAGTTAACAAAAAAAAAAAAATTGAGAAATTTATAACGAATTGAAATTTTTTTCGATTGTTAAAATTTTTTATTAAACTCCTTTCATTGTTTTTTTTTTTTTAAAAAAATTTAAGTGCTTGCTTGGCATTATTTAAAATGAATTTTATTATTATTATTATTATTTTTATTTTCAATTGGAATGAAAGCTAAATAATGATTACAATTAAATTTATTTTTATCTAATAAAAAATTTTATTTTATTATTATTTTAATAAGCTGATTGTTTATAAAGCGATACAAAAAAATTTTTTAATTGAAATAATGTGCTAAAAAAAATAAAAAAAATTCTTGTATAAAATAGGTTAAATTATTTACATTAGTAATAATAATAATAATAATATTAATTCATAAAAAAAAAGCCATAAAACATGAAAAATTAAATGTCATTTTTTTCGGTTAATTTTAATTTTTTTTTTTTTTTTCGGTTGTTTTTTAATAAATGGAAAATTAATTGGGGAAAAAATGTGTGAAATGTTAATAAGAAGTTGTATTATTATTATTATTATTATTATTATAAACAAATTTTTTTAATAATTGAAGAAAGATCAGTTATTTATAATAATAATAATCTCAACGAATGACTTGTAATAATGGCGTTTAGTGTTAAGAAATAATAATTAATAAATAAAATTAATAATTTAATGTTTATTTTTAAATATGGATATTTATATATATATCATTCTTTTTATGCTATTATTATTATTATTTATTTATGGTCACTTTTAAATAATTAATTTTTATAACACCAAAAAAAAAAAAAAATACTTTTTACTAATGTTATGATGAAATGATTATATGAGTTCACAGCGTTCAAGTTCATCATTATTAGTCGTTACTAAGCGTTTTAGTTTTACATAAAGTTTAGTCATTTATTTATTGTTTGAATTATATGGCATTCGGTTAGTTATGTTCGTGTGGTAAGGTGTGATTGCGTTTATTGTGATTTAATAAATAATAATAGGTTTTAAGATTTCAATTCGTTTTGTCAAGCGTTTGTTTTTGAAATTTAAGGGAAACGTATTTTATTTTACAGTTACGACGCCATTAATTTGTATTTAAAAGTAAAACAAAAGTCACTGATTAATGAGTGAAACGTTATAAACGTCGCCTTTAAATTTTTCTTATTTTTTTTTTTAATGACATTTAGTTTTTATCTTTTAACGTTAGTTATTTTAATCTTATACTAATTTTAAATGTGAAATTATTACTTAATTTTAGTTTTGATTGGTAATGTAAACTATATAAAATTATTTTTCCAGTTTTTTTATTGCACTTTAAAATTCGTTAGAGTTAATTAAGTTTAAATTATTTATAAAGATGTAAATTAATTAATTTAACAAAACATCGTTTTTTAAAGTTTTAAGTAACAGAACAATAGTTTTTTTTTTTTTTTCTGTTTAATTTTTTAGTGCGCAAAATAACAATTTTTTTTTTTTTGCTATTGAGAGAACAAAGATAAAGTCGTGGCAGAGGAAATTGACTATTGACACTGGTTGCTTAGTTTTACAGTAAAATGGCTGATATACCAGCGCAGGCAATGTTAAACGAAGCTGCATTAAAAAGATTTGATCCGTATGTAAAAGAGATATTGGACACAGCAAAATTTGTTGCTTTATATACGTTTAATCCGGAAGAAAACGAATGGGAAAAAACTAATGTGGAAGGATCGTTGTTTGTTTATTCACGTACAGGTGAACCGTTTTATAATATATTAGTATTAAACAGACTAAATACGACAAACTTAATTGAACCCATAAGTCACAAGTTTGATTTACAATTACACGAGCCTTTTTTACTGTATAGAAATACTAAGTTTTGTATATATGGTATTTGGTTTTATGAAAAAGAAGAGTGTACGCGATTAGCTACCCTTATTCAAGAACTAATGAAAAAATTAGGGGGTAACAAACGGACCCCGAGTAGTTTGAATTCAAACGGTGGAGCTAACGTAGATATATTTAGCATGTTGAGTAAAGCCCAAGAAGTTTATAATAGTTCTAAATCAAATAATAATAGTATTAGTAAAAATTCAAATAAAATGGTTTTACCGCAAGTGGAACAAACACCACAAAGTGTTATGGACTTTTTTGCTAAAGCTGGAAGTGCACCTCAAAAAGCTGCGGTACCTGCAGGGAATTCGTCGAGGCTTGTTTTAGGACGATCTCAATCAGTTAGAGCAATAGATACAAATGACAAGGGTCCAATAAATCCTTTGATTCATCAACTTATGTCTGATCCAGTACATTCTGTAGAACATATTGAGAAACAGCAAAGATCTGTGACGCCTCAAACTCTAGAAAGCAATTCGCAATTGTTAAAAAAATTTATTAGACCAACATCGGGACAACTCATAGATATAGATTCTCAACCTGCGACAGATGAAACTCCGAAAAAGAATTCTAAAATGGAAAATGGTTTAAATTTTAAAATGTCTCCCTCATTTCAGTCATTATTTTCACAGCCTATTTTAGATGCACCTGATCTTAGATCTCTTACCACGCCTAAAACACCCTCTGAAACACCCCAAAAACCAGCACTTATGCCTCCGGCTATGTTTACACCTTCCGCTTTAAAAGACTCTTTTTCAAACGAATCGGAATTAAATTTTAAAAATACTGAATCGACAAAACCTGAATTGCTCACAAAAAATCAATTATTACAAGCTTTAAATTATCTTTTAAAAAATGACCCTGAATTTGTGACAAAAATTCATGAAGCATATGTTAAATCGTTAACGGATAAAGTTTTATGAAAATAACTTAATTAATTTATAAATCGTAACTGAATGAACGACCATTTTTTTTTTTTTATCATAAATAATTATGTTGCCGTTAATATTTTCACTTTTTTTTTTTTTTTTTTTCTCGTCTTTTAAAAGTGATATTAATTAATAATTACAATGTTTTCAAGCCAAAAATTATTTAAAAAACTTTTAATAATATTTCATATGTTGATAATTTAATTTATGAGAGAGGACTTTATTATGTGAAACAAGTCACCATGTACGACTTTTGAAAATTTTTATTTTTGTTTTCATGTTAAAACTCATTTTGTTTAAAGAAAATAATTATTTATATACTCTACATTTTAGTTTTTACTTATCCCATGGAAAAGAAAGGAAGAAAATTTTAATGAATTAAACATAAAAAAATTTATTATAAAGTTACTGTAAACAACTTGATGTTAATTACATTGAGTATTTTTATTTTAAACGAAACCAAAAAGCAAAAAAAAAAAACAAAACTTATTTATTTATTTTATTTTATTTTACTTTTTTTTTTTTTCTCTCCAAGAACAATTTACCGATTTTCGATATGTTATATGTGACAAAAAAAAAATTATTTTTAAACATAATTAATAATTATCAGATTTATTTAATAATATGCAGTTAAATAGAACAATATTCTTTATTAATTTTATCCAATATTAAAACATGTGTAAAAAAATTTTTATTTTATAAATAATTAAATTTGTTTTTAACAGTAAAGAAAAAATAATAATAATAAGAGAAAAGTATTTCGAAATCATGTTGTTTAAAATTTCAATTTCTTTAAGTTATATGTAACAAATAAAAAAAATTTATTTTTTTAAAACTGTCATTTAAAAAAAAAAAAAAAATAAATTATTGTTGTAATTTTTTCGATAAAAAAATTTTTTTTTTTTTTATATATATATAAAAATATTATGAAAAGTTACACTTGATGTGCAACTTTTTGTTTTTATTTTTGTTTTTTTAATTTATTTTTATCATCAACAAAATTTGTGAATTATTTGATAAATAAAATTAAATGTTAACTGGGAATAATGATTTACATTGAAGTTGTTTTTTTTTTTAGTCAAATAATTTCCTTGTCATTGATTGTTATGATTTAAAAAAATTAATGTTTAATGTTAATTTTTAATATTTTTTAATTTTATTTAAAACTTAAAAAAAATGAAATTGAAATTATGTAATTGTAATTCAATTAATTTTAAAAAAAAAATCGTTTGTTTAAAGTAAAGTAATCTTTTTTTTGTTTTTTTTTTTTTTAATTTTATATGTTAATTATGAGGAAAAAAGTAAAAACTTGAAGTGATAAAAGTACATAGTACATGATAATCAAGTAATTGATTATTTTTAGACGCAATTAAAATTTTTTATGACGTAGAATAAGGAAAAAATCAATATTATCTAAAAAAAAAAAAATGAATCTTGTATTTTATATTAATTATTTATTTTGTTTTTTCCTTTATAATAATAGTAGGATAATTATAACGTTTTAAATAAACTTCAAATAGTTTTACGTTGAAATTGACATACAAATTCATATTTAAACCATAGAATAAAAAATTAAGTTTTTTTTGAACGTGTCTTTAGAAACTAAATCTTTTATCTATGTTGTATAATTTTTGTTTTATTTACTTCAAAATATGTAATTAAAAAAAAATAATTTTTAAAAAAAAAAAAAAAATACTTTTATATGGTAATGGAAGAGATAATGGCCACGGCGATATTGTCATAACGTAATCAATCCTTCTCGCCAAAGATTTCCTTTTTGTATTGTGTGGACTCCTATACCTTGTTTGACATGGATATTTCCTTTTATTGGTCATATGGGTATTGGAACTTCAGTGGGTGTCATTAAAGATTTTGCTGGTTCATATTATGTAGGTAGTGATAATATGGCTTTTGGTAAACCCACTAAATATTGGCAATTGGATCCATTTAAAGCTTTAGGTGGAGTTGAGGGTTGGGACAAAGCAATCAACGAAGCAAGTGAGATTTACAAAGAAAAAATGGTATGTATGAAAACGCTATCAATTTTTTTAAAAAAAATTTTATTAACAAATGTTGTTGTAAATTTTTATAATTTCTATTTCAGCATAACTTGTGCTGCCAGAATTGTCATTCATTTGTAGCTACAGCTCTTAACAAAGTAAATTATAATAATTCAAAATGGAATATGGTAAAACTTGCCTTTTTAATAATTGTTTGTGGTAAATATGTCAATGTTGCAGCCGCTTTCAAAACTTTACTACCATTCATAGTTCTAATTAATATTTTTATATTTCTAGTGATTTTTCTGTAAATTTTTTTTAATCATAGACTTTCATTAGTGTTAATTATAAATATTCCCAGGTTCTGGATACTAATTTAATAATA